TTTGTATTGTATTTTCAACAGTCTCCACTTTAAGTCCCTATGAAGATCAGTATTGCGGCAGTACCAGGATGCATCGACGATGTTCCTTAATAGTTTATATTCTGGAAACGTTGATTAACTTGGATGTTACTTTTACTGGCACAGCTCCAAAGCTGGCAAATTGCTTCTTTTAAATGCACTAATCTGAAACAAATTATAGGTAATTAAAAGGGATTCATACAAATTTTTGATTAACAATAATTTTATTAATATTGTTTTAAATTAACTATAATAAAACAATACTTATGCCTAAACAAACATTATTTATGTAGTTCTCACCTCAATTTCTAAAAACATATTCTGTGTCTCATATAACAACAGCACAAGGCATAAATATATCAAAAACGGACAACTCAAATCTTCTTTAGGCTTGTTTCTAGCTGGACAAGGACATGAGACACACATATCACGTATGATACATGAATAATTAATTTTAATGATACGAAAAAACTACTTTCAAATCAGACATTCTTCATTAATTGTCGGCCTTTTACAATATAACCTGTTTAGTAACCTTTTGTGTAATATTTTCAGTGAAATATTTAACTAAAATATTTCAGAAACTTGTGCTTGAAATGTTATGTTTGAAACATTTTTGAAACACTTCTAAAATAATGTGTGCTGTATGAAGAGATACCAGATTATATTCTATCTACTTTTATATTACCTATAACTATCAGGAGTGGCTAAAAGCCATAGAGAACTTAATAATTGCTTTTGAGCATCAATATTTGGTCTGCCTATAACGTTATTACTTTCCAAATCTGGACGCACTATTTGCAAAACCCCTTCAAATGCTTGGCGTGAAACTCTAAAATGAGATTGAAACTCGGCATTTGAAGAGTTTCCAATACACCGTTCTATATATTGTGGCACTCGAACAGGTACTCTAAGGTTTAATCGAGACCTCTTTATGGCCCGAGAAAACAGCAATTCTACAACTTCATTTTCCTCATCTTCATCGTCACTTTCTGCCTGTTCGAAAAATAGTCTATAGTATGTTTGTACAGCTTGGATTACTGTATACATATAAGGAATCATAATTAACAATAAAATATTAATTATGTAAATAAAAACAATTTGCCAAGATAATACACGTAACACATATAAAACTCGAAATTCCCACTAACAAATAATGTTTGTTGTGCGCATGACACGTCCCAAACACCCTGCTTTTGAGAAGGACGTAAAGTTGTAACCAGGACGTAATTTATGAACGGTTGCAACTAAGATTTTGGTCGTGACGTCATTTCTTACCTAACTTTCTGAACGATTTCTGCAACGTCCAGTCGCGCCGTGCGAGGTTTCTAAACGCACTCCAGTCAATACAAAAAAATGACCCCATTCATTCAAGCTTGTCGCCATGTTAGGTAAATTTATGTTTTGGCTACACTGATTTTTAGTTTGTGTGTTCTGTAATACGTGAACACCGATAATCTGCACTTTGTTATTAGTTATAAGTGAGTGAGACGCACAATTTCTAATTTCAAATTAAGAACAAAACTTTGACAAACCTATTTGATTTTCCTAGATCTGTTCAGACAGGACCGGTTTTATAAAATTTCTCGTTCTTGAAATGTTATTTTTACATGGTTATATATTATTGGATAAGTGGTTTGTGTACATATTGCTATGAGAATTATAGAGAAATTCAGTGAGATTTATGTAATATAATTAAAATTACAAGTAAACCATCTGTTCCTGTTGGGCAATATGGAGAAAATACCTACTTCAATGTCAAATGTACTATTTAAAAGAATGTGATTGTTAACCGGTCATTTATTTATATTATATTATGAAAATAAAAACTCGAATTTTTTAACTAGGGAAAGATATACTTACATCGGTAACAAGGTATTTTTAGAAAAACTAATAGATTACTCCTATTCCTATAGTTTATTTGAAAATGAATAATAGCAAAATTATATAAAAATATGGACCTTTGCCATAAAAACTGTGCTACCAAGCATTTTCAAATAAACTATGATAATTTGATTTAATAGAGCGAGTATAAGATCTCACCTGTTAGAGAAATTGGGGCATAGGGAAGAGATTATGAAGCAGGTAAGCAAAGTCATTGCAAAAGATAAATATATAGAAGTTATTTTAAAAATTTGATAAAAAACTAGTGGAACAACAAATGGAGTTGTCGCTATCGGAGATCCAATCAGCAGAAAGTAAAAAAAAAACTTTGGGAATGTTGGAAAAGGGCCCAGCAATAGGCCCAAAACAATTCCTTGGTTTTTTAATAAATATAATCTGAGATGCAAAAAATACTGCTAGAGTGGAGAAGCAGTATTGTTCTAATGTAGAAAACTCAGGGACATACAGCAGTGCACTAACCATAGGCGAATAGTCACTAAATTATACAAGAGTCCCATCTCGATTTTATTTTTAAATATTTTTGAGAATACCTATTATTATTTGTTACATTGAGTTTAATAAAACCACAGATTTCGAATGTATTGAAAGTTATTTAAAAAGTACTTCTATAAATATATAGAAAATGTGTATATGACTAACTGGTTTTATTAATCTTTTTTTGGGGTAGGTAAATATATTTTGAAAAATTTACAAACTTCTTTTGAATAAAAGACAAAATATTTCTGTTTTTATTAACTGAACAATATTTTATACGAACATAATATATACCTATTTAAAAGAAAATATTACATTTTACAAGTATCGCATATTTATATGAAATAACTTACTCAATAAGAAAGAATTAAATGAAACAAATTAATAAACAATGGATATGAAAAATTGCTTTAACAATTTAATCCTTAGATAAACTTATTCTTACATATTGCTTTAATCAATTTATTTACTATAAAAGTATATTTCCTATCATTTATTACATATAATAAAATAAAGCATAAAACATACAAACTGTAATATGTACCTACTTAGAACGGAACTAATATTATTGTATCAAGGTATTAATAGTGGACATTTTCCGAATAAAAAAAAGTAAAAAAGAAGTAACGGTCGACACGTTTTTCTAACTATTGGTCTTCATCAGTACGGTGCAGCCAAGTTCAAAGGATCATGGAATTTGTGTTGGAAAAATTGTACAATAGGTCACTAACAAGGAGCCAATAACACATTTGCCGTTTCAGCTAGTATCCCCAAATTTTCTGGGCTTATACTAAAGTCACAAAATGATTCAATGGTCTTCCTATGGCTATCAGTTATTCTTTACTAACGTTTTTTGGTATGCTACAACAAAACATACAAATTATTTGATTTTGTAAATACACAAATATTTGTGAAAACTTACACATGAAATGTTATTCCTTCCTTGTATCTTCTACCGTTAGATGCATTGTTACATTCACGTACAAAACAAAAAGAGATTTTAAAAATCCTGTAAAAATTTAACACCAAACCACAAATGTTTTTTATTAAAATAAAACACTAAACGACTAAACTAAAAAATAATGTTTTAAATAAAACCTTTACTAGAAGAACAAAATAAACAACACAACAGATAATAAAATCGATTATATACGTCGAACGCCGATCCTACGCTTATTCGGCTTATTACTAAACTTGCGCCGATTCTGTCTTGTCAGTAGTGCCAACTTAAAATTTATTGACATTTATTTATCATGGCGCCCATCATATGGGGGTCAAAATGTTTTTACGATGCGGTATCTAGACCTTCTGAGGGCTATGAGTGTATTATAGGCCCTAATAATTTAATTTTGGATATTGTCAAAAGGAGTATTGTTGGTGCCTTAATAACTAATAAGCTGGCAACAAATTATAATTGGCTGCAGTTGAAGTGGGTAAGATGTTTTAATTTTTTATTTTTGCATGCCAGTTATCATAAAGTCGTTGCATTAAAACCTCTCTATCCAGTCACAATTATTTTTGTATCTAATGAAATTGTGTTTTTCCAACCATTGGACTTCAAAACTGATGGAGATCTAGCTTAACAAAAATAAATATAGGAGTTCCAATATTATAAAACAGTGCCAGGAACGAATTGGATTTCAAAGGCATAAGGCCAAAACAGGTGGATACAAATGAGAGAGGTTTAGGTCCAGGAGTATATTGACAATGATAATTTTGAGCTGTAGAAACTATCGCTTACTTTACATCTTTTTGTTGTATTGTTTTTATTATATTGTTTATTATAAAAGTACCAAAGTTAAGTTTCTAATTTGATATTATTTCTTTGCAGAAGGTTCTATAAAAAGTAGCAAATAGAAAGAGAAGAAGTTTGTAGAACAGGAAAATTGTGAGATGGCTAAGAAGAGCTAATGATAGCCTAAAAACTTTCAAAAAGATAGCAAAACAATTTAAATTATTCTTTTAATGTAAAAAATTAAATAAATACAAATTAACTTGTTTACTTTTCTTTTTAATGCACTAATACGTACATTATACATCATAAGTAAGTACCAATAAGGATGTAAAGTACGTCTAAAATATGTACTCTATTGGAATAAGTACAAACATAGTACGTACACAGTACGTACATTAGGTACGTATCATTGAGGAGCTTACGGTGGGTGCGGTACTAAAAATAGCCTATACACCACGAGACTAAAGTGCGTTTTAATCCCTCTCGGGATTAAAAGTGACACTTTGGTCCCTTGGTACATAATATACTATTAAATGTCTGTTATGATCAATAAAATTACGAGAAATTACAAAACTTTTCATTTTCGTTTAGAAATGTTTATTAAAAATATCTAAAAATAGAAAATTTCTGTTATGTTGAGAATATCGTCAAATTTTCTCAACAACTTTTTGTTTCTTCATGACCACCAACAACTCAATTTCTAACTGCGCATCTAGAGATTTTTTCCTAAAACTTTTTGTGGTTCTTCATTGTCCCCTTAAATATGCAAATTTTATTCCATTTAACCCACCATGTTTTTTTTATACATTTCTAATACCCCATACCTATATGAAAAAAGTTAATAAGGAATCTTATTTTTTTTTTGTAGAAAAAGGCGAACAATGCGGCAGTTTTTCATTCTTACTTCCAGCTTTGGGCTCTACGAATGTTTGCGATGACAATTTAATGTGCCACGAGGGAGTATGTAAATCTTTGGAAGAAGTTCTTAAAAATATTGTTAAAATTGGAGAAGCTGAATCCAAGAACGGGGACTAATTCGAACAGAATAATATAATACTAGTTTATTATAAAATCAAATTTTATTTTTGTATTTTTAGTTTTCTTATTAGGAATTGTTTATCGTCATCATCATCATCATCATCTTGGCCACATATAAAAGCATTCATAAATAATAAATATTTCTGTTATTAGTGTACACATTATTTAATAAAATATAGGTGTCCCAAATTTAAACGGACATAGTTTAATGGAAGGTAGGCCAAGTTCAAGACCCCTATACTTACTCTTTAAAAATAATTGATTATGACATAAGTTGTTTTATGATTTTCCACCAAAATTAGTCACCCTATATATCGTTTTTTAATGAATTTTAATGAACATTTAAGTAGTGCTTGGATCAATGGGCGTGTTCAGTGTAAACGAATTTAACGAATCTGATGCTATAAGCAGATTAAGCATAAAAAAACAATTATTTTCGTACAAAAACTACTTTAAATTAATAATAAATAACAAAGTTATAGTGCTTTGAAAAGTTCACTTTTAAATCAATAATTTAAAACGCATTATTTTTGCGGCATTATACGCGTCATAATGAAGCGCCTATTTTCATTGGTCGCTGATGAATCGATGGAACCATAAAACAGTCAGCACAGGAATTCTTCTGTGCGAATTTGACAAGAAAACCGCGTTTGGTTCTCCATCTTTTTCTAATAGTAATATTTATGGTTAGTTATCTCTTTCTAAAATTGTATTAAAATTAGGTTGGTACGTGTTTTGATATATAAACAAACAAAGTTTGTATTTATTTTGTTTTTTAACCTCGTTTGTAAAAAAAATTGAAATTGTTTTTAAACTGTGTGAAGAAACCCTTGTTTATTTTACGTTCTATTGAAAATGCCTGGTTATATTTTCAAGTGTTTGGTCCCTACCTGCAGTAATAAAACCAGCCAAGTTGACAAAATTTTCATAAAAGTTCCTCAAAATCTGGACATTCAGAAGCGATGGTGGGCTGCAGCAAAAGTAAAAAACACAAACTACCATCGTGCTTTTATATGCGAAGACCATTTTGACGTAAGATACTTACCTATTTATTTATTTTTTTCAATTTGATATCAATTTATAAAACATAGTTGATCAACTTTGTAGGTTAATATACCTTATTATTTAACACCGAGCTTGTGGATACTAATGAATAATTGTATGAATTTATTTTTATTACAAAAATGTACTTTTTAGGTGGAAAAAGATGCCGAAAATTGGATGCAGTTCAAAATTATTGGTAAAAATTTAAAAATTAAAGGAGATGTTGTGCCTCATAAATATATTGATAGACCACCCAAAATTCCGATTAAAAGCTCTTTATCTGACTCTGCCAAAAAAAGAAGAATTGAAACTTTGAAATGTATTGAAAAAAAGGAAGAATGTTTAGCATCAACCTCATTCGAGCATAATGTATCATCACCGAAACGACCAAAAACTTCTTCAAAAATAGTTGCCAGAAAGCTTTTCAAAACTGACAGTGAATCACCAGATGAGAAACGTATGAAAGTATCATCACATCTTGAGTCACCATCTGGCTCATTTCAAATACATTATTTAGGGAAAACAGAAAACACATCAAAATCAGTTCAGGCAAAAATAACACCAATCATGAGAAGTGTGTCGACTGAGACCAAATATAAGGATTTGAAAAAAAGTAATATAGTTGCAGAAAAAAGTTGTTCTCCTATTTTAACATTGCAAAAACTGACCGAGTCTAAACTAAAAGCTAGTTTAAAAAAAACAAAATTTCCAAGTGATGTTAGTTCATCTTCTAGAGACTCTGCTACACTATCAACATCATCCTGGAGTCAGACGAATACTACTTCCACAGAAGAAAATAAAGAAACCCTACATAAGCCTAGTTCTAGGAAGGATTCTACTTTATATTTAATAAAACAACATTCTAAATTTTATTTAGGAATTCCCGATGATTTATATAAAATGGTTGATTTTATTTCTAAGAAAGCACAAATTCCCTCAGATCATGTTATACTAACTTTATGGAAAATTAGGTTGGATGATCCATATATTAGAATAGGAAGAGATTTTGATCTCTCGCGATCTAGCATCCATAATATTTTTGTTGATTCTGTGCCAAAAATTGCCACTGTTTTACAACATTTAATATTTTGGCCTGAAAAAGATATTATAAAAAAATACTTGCCACTGCCTTTTAGAGCAAGATATAATGAAATTCAAAGCATCATTGATTGTTTTGAAATTGAAATTCAAAAACCTTCTAATCCCTTGAAACAATCTAGTACATGGTCAGAATACAAACATTGTAATACAATAAAATTTTTAATTTCTTGTACCCCCAACGGATTTATTAATTTTATTTCAGAAGGCTTTGGAGGAAGAATTAGTGATACTGACATTATTTCCAAAAGCAAATATTTGGAGGTTTTGCCAAAGTGTCATGTAATGGCTGATCGAGGGTTTAAACATGTTGCTTCCTTACTTGAAGCCAAAGCATGTTTATTGATAAGACCACCATCAGTAAGTACTGGACAAAAATTGACAGTGGATGAAGTTAAGCAGAACAAAAGAATTGCTTCTTTAAGAATTCACATTGAGAGAGTGATTCGTAGAGTCAGAGAGTTTTTGATCTTAAAACCACATGCATGTATAAATAATAACTTGTTACAATTCATAAATGATATTACTGTCATAGTTTGTGCATTAATTAATTTGCAAACACCATTAATATAAAACATTTCTGCCAAACTATGTACAGGGTGAGAGTGAAATAATTTGTAATTTTTACAGTCAATAGTATGTCATTAAAAAATATAATTTTATATTTAATAACCTTTAACTACTACTATATTGTTTATGAAGTATTCTGAATGACTTATCAATGCATAGCCCAAACTATTTAACATATAAAATTTAGAATTAATGTTATTTTTGTATCGACTTTATAAATAAAGATATGCCTGTTTTCGAGTTATAATGGTAAGTCAATATTTATATGAGGATGTCTATTATATTTAAAAACCAAAGATGTTACAGTCAAGACCAATGATAATTAAATATCAAGAAATATATTTTTTTTTAGTTTCTTGCTACAGAGCGGAATTTTTTTTAAGACCTCATCGAAAATGTTATGGATATGAAAATTGGTAGGTATTCAGATTCTCCTTTTAAAATAAAAAACACATTAAGATGGTAATCTATTTAAAAATTAATGCATTTAAAATTGTTGAGCTAGTAATAGATTTTTTTTGTGAAATATAAATCTCTTTAAGAAATGAAATATTTTAATTCACTGGGATTATACCAGAATATATTAAAAAAATGTAATAATTCAAGTGAATTAACCTATAAGCCAAAAACTGGCATCATATCTCCTCATTTTTTGTAAAAAATTGTCATTCCATATATGTTATTTTACTGCTCAAATGATTGTAGAAAAGTTTGCATGTTATTTAATGCATTCTTTACAGGACTAAATAAATAATCTACAATAAACACAAAAATTGAATTTATTAATCTTTTATATTATGTCCAGATATAATGATTCTATTATTAAATTTATTTATCAAAAATTACAATTCGTTTGAAATATGCAAATTATTTAACAGTGTTCATTTTAAGTTCTGATACTTATACAAAATACATACAAACTACACAAAAATAAATATCTTGAGCCTCTTCATTTTAATGTTTACCATCACTTCCTAAAATATTAAATTTGTAACTACAATTAGAGTGTTTAAACAATATTGGCAAACAGTACTGTGACATCAAGACTAGCATAATAATGCATTGAAAATATACATTACATAAATCTGCAGTGTTAGTTGCAATAAACTGTCAAGTGTCTTAGTATAAAGACTTGATAAATATTAATGGTAATGTAATTGAGAAATAAATGTAAATATCATTAGTTATACATGTTTAATAGAATATTTATTAAAGAAAATTTTACAAAATTCGTTTTTTTTATTTTAATCAATTATAACAGGATATATAACATTTTTCCAAAAAATATTTGCCTGGTCCATAACATCACTTAGTTCATGTTCATCAAAATCAACATCTAATATCTGAACCTCCTTATCAACTTCAAAATTAGGAGATGCCACACAAAACAGCCCTTTATGTTTTTTAGAAAGCAACATTTGTAGTTGCATTTGAAAATAAAACTTTCTGGTCACTTTGCCACTCGATATATAATTATTCAAACTCTTCTCTTTATATGGACATTTTACTTCAATGACATAATAATCAGAAATGCCATCTGGCGAAGCTCCAAAGATTGGGTAATTTTTATTTAAAAAAAGTCCACATTTATTAATGTTAATATTTTTAATTTCACTAACAATTTTTATCACTTCCGACTCTAACTTTTTACCCCTGTTTATAGCTTCAGTCTCAATGGGTGGATTCGCCCCAAGAATTTTTTCTTTTAAACTACCTGAAAAGGTTTTACTTCTAGCAGTTTCATACAGTAAAGAAGCTGTAATGCGTCCAAATCTAAGTTCAAACCATTCAGGACAGTTCGATTGCTGCCTTGTCAATAATTCTGCTTCCAGACAAGCACTCTTTGACATACTTTTTGTCATAAATGCCATGAATTCATCAATGTTACTAGCAGTCTTCAAGTTTTTATAATTAATCCCTAATTGATGCAGACTAAGATTTGAAAACTTCGGATTTCTGTGTAATTGGAATAAAACACCTTGGCTTGTAGGAAATTCTGCTAATAGCTCTTTTAGCAATGTTTTATTAGGTGGCTCAATTTTTCTGTTTTTTTTCTGGCCAAATAGTGTTGAAACCCTCAAGTCAGAAGAACGTCCTACTTTTGATAAAGATGAGCCTTTCCAATAACACAATGTCGATGTAGTAGAAGGTTCTTCACTTCGACGATGCAGCCATAACAAGAAAGCAACACCATGTTTGCAACCACCTTAAAAAATAATAGAACCTTGTTACATTGTATGCACAGTTTTTTTTAATATTTAGAGGAATTTATATTACCTTCAGAAGCAGAACAGTCTGTGCATTCACAAGACACAACCTTTTCCTCTTGTTCGTTTATTACTGCATCAACATTATAGGCTTTTTTGTGAATTTTGTGTTCTGGGGTAATCCTAGCTTTAATGTTACACAAAACACCCTCTCTTT